ATTAAAGACTGACTTTATTTAGGTCGACTAAGGTAATTTAATGACTAATAATGAAGTTTTTCCAATTACGAGATAGATGAGCAGGCCTCAAAAATGTCATTGTATTTTACTTAGCCTTACTTCCCAGTCCAGGCTGGACTGAAGTTTCGACCTTGCCATGGTCTCATCAGCATCCCGATAGGGAGTTGATACCGTGTCCTGAGTATCTTGGCGACGGCCAAGGGTGCCATTGAGTCCCAGGGCGGATACAACATTTAAGTAAAGCCAGGCCTCTCTCAGCTCACGTTGTATAGTGGAATCGTCGAGTAAGTAAGCATATATTTGTAATTGAAAGCAACGGCTATATATTTTCGATGTAAATATAATTCATATTACCGATACTTATTGAATGTTATGCTGTATTACCCGTATTCGATTCTTGTTGGGGATTCTAAAGAGGCCTAGGCAAGGTTAAAACTTCAGTCCACTCTGGATAATTGTGTGGCTAACAAGTATAACTATCACCTTAAACGAAATGGGGTGAATATATCTCATAAATATAATCTACCGACAGTCTCGAAAGTCCGATCATAAGCGAAAAATAAGTGTAACTATCTTTCTATTCAAGAATAAATGAGAATCTCCAAACCTACTTATGCCTGAAAGCAGGACTCCCGAGAGTAGGAATGTTCTGAACACACGGCGACAAAAGAACCTGTCCGCTCATGACAAGTTTTGACTGCCTCAGAGTCACTGCAACCCTTCAGTATACTCACAGATCCAGCACAAGTAGCTGGTTCTGGATGGGCCTCATCGAGAGGCAAGAGACAAGCCTATTCATCACAAATAAGAAGTGGGTTGACCTCGTTGTCGCGACTTGGTCTTGTTGTCAGGGCAACTTAGTAAAACACACCTAGTCCGAAGTCGTCTGCCATAGTAGTTGTCATGATGCCCAGCATCTGACAGTGGACTTGATACATTCTCAAACGTGTCGCCAGCATCGTAGTCGGCATCATCAATGAGCTTTGCCATTCTTCGCACCAAGCAACGAACTCGTCAAAGAGACAAGTGAAGCCAATCCCTCAACAAAGGTTCTGCTGAAAACGGTTACACAACGGCCACAACATCTTGGTCTTCATATATTCTATCACAAATAAGGTTTCAGATATTACGGTCTGCTTGTCTCAGAATCTCATCTTGGCATGCTTGTGGCTATCTAGCATCGCAGCATAACAGCTAACACCTGGTACCAGCATCAGTTCACCCAACTGATACAGCCGCCTTTCATTACCAACAGTGGCAACTCTCAGATCAACCCGACTTAGAGGGGGATCGTGCAGACAACAACGATAGCATCAGCTTTGTTAACCGAGGCCGACCAGATCGTAGAAACTGGGTCATCTTAAAGGGTCTAAGGGGACGACGACACTAGCAGTTGGAGGAAATGGCCTCTGGAGTGAGGCGAAAGGGGGTCTCAACTCACAGTCGAAGTGTAAATGGGTTTTGATGAGTCTTCTCAGATAACATGACTTGGGTGGAATTGGGTTGATCTCGTTGTCGCAACTTGGTCTTGTTTTCAGGGAGACCATGTAGAACGCACCTAGTCCGAAG